TTCCTTCTTTAAATTCTCGATTCAAGTGGTATTGTAAAATCTTGACAAAGTAGATAGTTAAAATATTAAAAACCTTTTAAAAAAATGCTAATGCATTCGCGAACTCTATCAATTCAAAACGACATGAAGAATGAAGTAATTACAAAGTGGCATCCTTTGTATTCTGACAGATGATCAGATCAAAGATTGCTGGTAAATAAACTTTAGCTGTTGAGATTTTCACTTACATTGTCATCTCAATAAGATTTCTATGCAAAAAGTAACCGAATATCGGCACTGTACGAAAGAAGAGAAGAATTCCAGTTAAGTGAGCATAGAACTTTGATCTAGAAGAGTCAAAAGCGAAAAAAAACGTATGCTCATGCTTCTATTTATATTTTGTGATTCAAAATCCTTAATGGGAGACTTTCTGACACACATACGACGAGCTGAACAAGCAGACTTGCTATTAAAGACACACATTGTGACATTTATTACTTAACAACAACAACACATTTAAAACAATTTCAAATTTGACGTACACTATAACTACATGTATAAAATGGCTCTTATTAAATAATTCCCGATATTTTTTAAACAAAATTTATATTAGTTAGATGTTTGATTTAGTTTTTTTTTAAGAAGTGAAAATGTCAATATAATAAATCAATAGAAAATGTATGCAAGTCCTTTAAAATAAAGTATTTATTACTATATCTTTGTTCTAATGTCCTCCAAAAACAAGTACTTAATTAGATTCAATTAGAGTCACTTATTAACTAAAAGGTTGTACTACAAGATCCGTACTATAATTTACTAGAAGCTCAGAACTATATTATTGTGTATTCTATTATATTTTATGACTCTAAGATCAATTTGAAAAATTAAAAAAAGGTTCATTATAATGTATAACTAAAGCATGAAATAAATTTAAAACCATTTTACCGGTTTCATATTAGTGTTTTACTAGGAATTCATCACTGATCTATTATACTAACGACTGAACTAGTTCATACCACTAATGAATGACTTCATTGTTATAAACTAAACTCAACGAGTTATCTCTACGTGCACATACCACCCACATTTGTAATTCTCTTAAAAGCTTTTGCTAATGAGACACGTTTCTGGTCTATTTCATAGTGATTGCGTTAAGTAACCTCTGGTTTCAATAAGCATCGTTGCCTATGTAATATAGCACATAATCCGAAATGCCAGTAACATTGTTGTCTGTCTCATTACTGTAGATTTTAATACTGTTGCTTTTGCTTTCATGTTGTATCACTAAAATGTTGCATACTCGCATGTCATAATCAACAAACTCAACCACGCAAGCCGCTGAATTGAGTTGAGTTGAAATCCTACAATGCGCTACGTGCTTCTAATACAAAAAAAAGAAAACAAAAACACAAACTTTTTTTTTTAATTCTAGGTTAAACTTGATGGATTCTGTGAAAACCTATAACAAGGAGTGAAAGGCATCACATTCACTATTCAGTATATATCTGCTTACTGCTGACTGCTGACTGCTTACTACTTAGTAGTGTTATACTTTCTGACCCTATTAAAAATGGGTGCAAAATCGTAATTTTTGAAGGCAACAAATGAGCAGAAAGCGCAGCACATATGTTGACCAACCACGTATGAATATTCACCTAAATATGCATTTAAGGCTTACGTGCGTATGTGTGAGTGAATGTTTCA